ATGGAAGGGCACCAAGATGGCAGAGTGCAATCAAAAGACTCAATGTAAATTCAGAGAAAAATACTCATCATCTAGAGATTGTAAGGAGTTGGATAGAAAGCAAAAAATAACAATACAGAGCATGAAAATGGAGAAAGAACACAGGTAGACCTGAGGAAAGGTTTACAACATTTTAATCTCTTAAGCGACTTTAGTGAAAATAGAAAAAAAAAAATTCTACCTTACCTTTTACTTACGGTAAAGTAGAAAAGAGATAAAAGTGTTTATAAAGCTAAGCAAAGATATGCAAATCATTGTCACATTAGTGAGTTCTGCCACACCATACAGTAATAATAATAATGTACCGAGGACAACCACCTGTAAATTACATTTTACAAAGTGGTTTAATTTGTGCTACAAGAGCAATGGAGCTTACAAATAATCAATGGGAAGAAAATGACGGACATGTTAAAAATATTTAATATAAGCTATACATCCTTCCATTTACCAGTAACCTGCTGAGTCACTATGAATCTTATAGTTATAAATCCACAATCCATCATCTGTACTTCAAAACATTTGGAAGGACCTGTGATCTGGAAACGGGCTTATTTATCTCTGTCTTCTATGAGTTTTGGGGTACTGTTAGATTATCCACTCCATACTTACCATCATCATGGGAAGTGGGGGCCACCCACAAGAAGACGAAGCAATGAAGGAAATTAAAAACTTCTAAAGTTAGTAGGATAATGTCATTGTGCACTACAGATTCTCTTCTTATATGGTGTCATTCTTGTAAGAATTTATTTGGTAGAAAAAGAAATTTGTGTCTCATGCTCTGTTTCTTAAAGAGATTTCTAGAAGTTTTGATTTCTAATATTGCTTCTTTGGTCAATGTGCCATTTGGAGAGATTTAAGAGCCAGCTGGTCGTCTGTCTCTAAAAGATTAGCAATGTTCTAGATAAAGATGTTCCCTCAGGTTGGTCCTGGTAGGCAGATGGCATGCACTGACTGATTCATAGCTTGAAAAAGGAAAGACAAAACCATCATCAACAACAACAATAAAATATTTTTATTCTTGTACTTTATTGAGATTTGGGGATTAATTTTTCCCTCAGTACAGCACAGTTTTGTTTTATTTGTTTGTTTTGATTGATAGACTCTCCATAAACAACGTTCATAAGAAAATTCCATATATGTGCCTTGCAATTCAGGCTTCCATGCTACTTGATAAAAAGAAACGAACAAAGTATACACAAAATTGGAGATTCAACCAATTAACTGAGCTCTCCTTATAGCTAAAGGTTTACATAGCCAATACTAAACTTATTTGCATGAGTCTCAGTATTACATTATAGTGAAGCTTGTACCTCAAACTAGACTGAAGCTTTTTAAAGTTAAACATCAAAGTTTATACTTCCAACATGTCCACAGAGATTCCTAACACTATTCCTAATAAACACTTATTAAAGTACGCTGACATAACTTTTTCTGAAAAAAGTATGTATCTGAATAATACAAATTGAAAACATAAGAATATGTTGAATCTTAAGAGCAAAGATAGAACTAAAAGAAAAAATAGAGATTTCCATTAAAAAAGAAAAATGAAGAATAAGAATAGTGCAAGGAATTTAGAAAATTAATTACCATAGGAGATTCTTTTTTTTTTTTTTTTTTTTTTTTGACACGGAGTTTAGCTCTTGTTACCCAGGCTGGAGTGCAATGGCGCGATCTCAGCTCACCGCAACCTCCGCCTCCTGGGTTCAGGCCATTCTCCTGCCTCAGCTTCCTGGGTAGCTGGGATTACAGGCACGCACCACCGTGCCCAGCTAATTTTTTTGTATTTTTAGTAGAAACGGGGTTTCACCATGTTGACCAGGATGGTCTCGACCTCTTGACCTCGTGATCCACCCGCCTCGGCCTCCCAAAGTGCTGGGATTACAGGCGTGAGCCACCGCGCACGGCACCATAGGAGATTCTTGAGAGAAAAGATGGAAGCAGCATTTTTAGAAAACAACAAATAAGCAGAAGGCAAATTAATACTGCCTCTGGAATAATGGATTTTTTTCTGTAGTTTTTATTTATTTAAGGTATTAACTGGTAAAACGAATAAAGTGTCATTTTTTTTGTTCAGTGTGAAAATGTGTCACATATAAATTCTAAGCCTAAAAATACAATGGCATCATATAATAACCACACTGTCTGAACGTCCCATTTGTAAAAACTATTAGAGAAAACTTGGGGACAGCAGACTTACGTGGTTGTAACTTTAGAATTAAGTATGTTTGTTAATGAAGACTACTTTAGAAGTTTTAAGTGATTAATTGCAGGCAATTTTCCTAACTCTGCCAGCACCTTCCTCTTCTCCCCTACAACTCCTTAGGAATATCCAATTTATTTGTCTACTTATATTTTACGTCACTGTCTTGTGACTTTTGATCTTTTTTGCCTCCCTCTCTTCTTTCTTTTCCTCCTTCTTCTTAATTTTTCAAATCATATATTTTTTACCTTGAAGCCAGATAGTCACTTATTAAATATGAATCTTCCTTGTCATCAATTTGCTTACCCAAGATATAAGGTAGCATCAGTACTTAGAAGCAAAAATTTAAAACTTTTATTAGTGGTAAATTTAAAAATAATTTCATAAAATGTAAAGCCACCAAATTCAGATATTTATAAAATTTCACTTAGGCACACACTACAGGTATTTGCAAAACATTAATTTTGTTTAATTCCCAAATTAAAATATGGTTATTATGGTTTTGTTAAATATTTTAATAAAATTTGGGAAAAATGAGGCCATTGCTTTTAAGATTTGAAATTAATGGGTTCTTTTAAAGATTAAAAACTGTAATACAAAAACATTTTTAAAAATATTTAGCAAAGTTTTCTGAATTGTATTGTTAAAAGTGCAGATAAAAATGACCTTTCTCAGTTTCCCATTTAAATTATCAGTTTAAAGGGTAATCATGTGAAGTAGAGGACTTTTGAATTATTTATGAATGGATCGCTTATGTAGGGAGTTCTACATGCAGTTGCATTTCAATTTTTGACTTTGTCTAGTGAGAGGCAGCCAATTCATTGAACAAGATTAAACATAAAGACATTCACAGAAATTCATAATGGTCTTACTAGGAAAGGCAGCAAGGGCATGAACAACTGTAGCAGGGCTAATCTCAAATTTCAATGGCCATCACTTAATTATTTTAGCTTTCAGTTCAAGTAATGTATCTCTTTATTAACGCGTCACATTTTATTAATTACCACAAACCACTCTCCAGAAGTCACGGTCATCACTTAGTTCCAGCCTTTTCACATATTTTATATGCTTAGTACTTAAAATGACCCCTGTGGTTGATAGTGTAGTAAAGGTATTTTACTGGTTGACTAAATTAAATGTATTCACACTACATGTGTTTTCTGGATTAACATTTTAAACCTAGTATTTGTGGTGCCAGAGAACATAAACTTTATAGGTTCTTCAAAAACTTGTTTTTTTTTTCAAGTTCTTATAGCACTTGTGGCATAAAAAATATATGAATTTAACATTTGCCTATCACATTTATAATATTTGTTAATATACCACAGGGAATATTTAGGACTTACCACACTCAAGATATTGTGGATTATTGAGTTAGAATTTATATCCCAGGAGAGTTTAATGCATTTCTGTGCCACATTCAGGTAGGATAATTATTTTGCTAAATACTCTCAAATAGTAAATGAGTATGAACATTCAGTATAAGTAATTTGTAGAACAGTGATGTAAAATGTAAATATTTAAAGCCCTAACAAATAAAGTCACATCACATTTAATTTGTTTACTGAACCATTACTTCATTCATGTATCAAGGATTTATTTACTTTATATAGAAGAGATACAGCAATCTTATTGAGAAGAAAATATAGCAAAACTTCTGGCTTCCTTGATCACCTTGTTGCGACAATTTCAGAACATAAGATGAGACAAAATTTAAATACAGATTTTTGCTAGCTAAGGAAAAGCTAATTAAGAATGTACTCATTACTATAGTTTCAGCCCTTTGAAAAAGTGATGTCAAAATTAATGAAGATACAAATTATGCAATGAAAAGAATAGTCTCCAATGTATATGACTCATGGTAGATCTTAGAAGGTTATATGTCAATAGTGAAGTATCAGTAACATCTGTTCAGTTCCATGCCCTTTAGATGAATAGACTTTTTCACATTACCTCCTTCTCCGCATTAGGTTGTGTAATGGATTACACAATATTCAGGTATGATCAATGATAAGTTGATGGCTGGATAGAGGGTATAGAATCTAAAATAGCTCAATAATGACTCCCTTCAACTCTTTTTCAGCTTGCTTTCTGGTCCTCCTCATGTGCTGTGGTTTTTTTCCAGTGTTGGATGGTAGGGTTAATTTCTTTCTCCCTCTCATTCCATGTCTTATCTTGTCTTTAGGAGATGAAACATTTGCTTTGCAAATACACATTTATATTTTCTGTTTCACACTTTGGTCAATGACTTTATTTGAAATTTAAGTACTGCTTCTGTATTGCTTCAGATATTAGAACGAAAGTCAGATGGAAAGAAAATATACAAAATTCACTGGCTAACACCTTGTGACATAACTCTTCCATACAATCAAAATAATTTAATAAAATAACATTATATATTATAAGAATGTAAATCAAGCTTGTTCAGCCCACAGCCTATGGGCTGCATGTGACCCAGGATGGCTTTGAATGTGACCCAACAGAAATTTATCAACTTTATTAAAACATTATGAGATTTTTTTTTGGTGTAAACTTTTTTTTAACCTATGAGCTTTTGTTTGTGTTAATGTATTTTGTGTGTGGCCCAAGATAATTCTCCTTATTCCAATGTGACCAAAGGAAACTTAAAGATTGGATATCCCTGATGTAAATCCTCATTCTCCACAACTGAAAAGTTACAGAGAACATCATATTTCATGTCTTGGTCATGAAGTATTTTCCAACGTCCTACAAAGGTTACAAAAACATTTCTAATTCACAGGGATCTCCAACTTCCAGGCCGTAGACTGAAACCAGTTCACAGCCAGTTAGGAACCAGTCTGCACAGCAGGAGGTGAATGGCTGGTAAGTGAACAAAACATGATCTGTATTCACAGCCACTTCCCATTGATTGCATTACCACCTGAGCTCCATCTCCTGTCAGATCAGTGGTGGCGTTAGATTCTCATGGTAGCTCAAACCTTGCTGTGAGCTGCACATGTGAAGGATCTAGGCTGTATGTTCCTGATGATAATCTAATACCTGATAATCAATCTGTCACTGTCTCCCATCATCTGCAAATAGGACCCTCTAGTTGCTGGAAAACAAGCTCAGGGTTCCTGCTGATTCTACATTATGGTGCATTGTATAATTATGTGACGACGTATTGCAATGTAATAATAATAGATATAAAGTGCACAGTAAATGTAATGCACTTGAATCATACCTTAAACATCCACTCTGCCCATCTGGGGAAAACTGTCTTCCAAGAAACCAGTCCCTGGTGCCAGAAAGGTTGGGAACTGCTGCTTTCAAAGGCTATTTTATGTTTCCAATTACAAGTTACAAAATATCTTCTGGAGAATTAGAACTTGTTCAAATCCATCAAGATAGTAAGTGACTAAGTCAATATTTCAACCTAGGTGTAAATTACTTCCATGGCATCATTCCTTCTGTTTGTCCACTCTGCCTGAGAGCATTGCATTGTACTGGGGGAAGGCAATTTTATCACTTAGTTTACTTAGCAAATTTTTTGTTATTTTATTTTTTAACATACAATGGCAAATTCAGTTGACTTAATCATAGCAATATCACAAATACCATATAATTGAAATCCAGTTACTACTAGTTATTGTATTGCTGTATATGACAATTAATTGTTATAAAGGTAAACCAACCTATCATTTTCACTCAGTCAGAACTTTTTTCCTTATTTTCCTAGTTCTTGGTTTTGTTTGTTTGGTGGTGGTGTTACAGGTGGTGATCTGGTGTTGTCTGTTTAAGAAGTCTCCTTACAACTCAATATAGATGGAGTCATCAATAACAAGGCCTCATCTCTCAACAAAAAGATGGGCTTAGAACTCAGGGTGAGCCCATTAGAATTCTGTATCCGCAAGATGGTCCAATAGGATTATTCCCTGAAACATATTAGGTAGAGCCAGTGAAAAAGGCACAGTAACTTTTTCTTTGACAGTACAAGGTGAAAAAAAGGCTCTTGAAATACTACTGGCTCTATAGCTTGGTAGCAAAGAGAATGATAGCTGCAAAATAGAACCAATTTTCAGAGGAAATTACAGATTGATATAGGGCTCTAAAATGAGCATTTAAGCCATTTGCTTCTTTTGTGCTTGAAGTCATTTCCAGGAAGTAGACACATTTCCAAGCATTGTTACTTAAGTTGCCTTGTGTTATTTTTGTCACTGGTAACTGAAAGAGTTTTGACAAATAGAGAAACTATTAGGTATAAGTATGCTTCTAAAGTGACAGTATATTAAATAATGCTATGGATAAAATAGAATTGGGGGCAATTTTTTACTTAGTGAAACATAAACAATCTTCATCATATGACAATTAAGTGACTGGTTGTACTAATAGATGTTGCCTTTTAGAATACAAACTGTATACTTCTCAAAACTGAAGTTTTAGAGGCTTAGTAGAATATATCTGTATATTGGAGTGGATTGGTTTTATAAAAATCTCTTTTCTCAAAACAAAGTTAAAAATACATTCTGTTTTATGTTTTATTTCTTTCAGTTTTTGTAGTTAAGGAAAATGGAAAGGTACAAATTATTCTAAAATTTTCTAGAGAATAAAATGCCTAATTAATGAGAATAAGTGATAGGACGAGTTCTTGATTCTTCATGTTGGCAAAAAAGAATTGGATTTGTATGGATTTAGGTGAGTAAATGAAATATAAGAAAATTTATTAGTGATAAAATTCACATTATAATTTTCTTTTTAAAAGGTGACTTAATTAAGATATTTTCCAGAAAACCTCTCTTGAATCTACTCTTTACAGCTCTGCTGACTGGGAAGTCCTTTCATAAGACATTGACGCTGGAATCATTTTGAGAACAGGACACATGGGGTCTATGGAGAGAGGTGGGAAGTGAGGACAGGGTGGTAAAATTGCATCTCCAATTACACTTTCTGCTTTTAAGTTTTTTGTTACACACAAATTGATTCCTTAATTTATTCCTCTAAGGGTTAAATTTTAGTTCAAATTTCTTGTAAACTTTTTAATTTCAAATTCCAGATTCATTTTAGAAATTCTTAAAATCCAGAAAATTATAGCAAAAAAAATAAAAGAGTAAAATCTCCTATGATCCCACCAGTCAGAGCAACTTGGCTGATAAAAGTCTCTTGGTCATTATTTGATGTGTAGGTCCTACTCTCATTTCCAAATTAGAATTAACTGAGCCTACAGAGTAGTATCCTATTAGACAGAAACATTTCTAATGATTAGTAATACCCAAACTTACATCAGGGACTTAAAAAAGCAGCACTTAAGAAATCACCATAAAGCCAAGTTCTTCTCATTTATGTATTTCCCCACTCTTAGAATGAAACTCTTTAAAAATGCTCATCATCACTGGTCATTAGAGAAATGCAAATCAAAACTACATTGAGATACTATCTCACACCAGTTAGAATGGCCATCATTAAAAAATCCGAAGACAACAGATACTGGAGAGGATGTGGAGAAATAGGAACACTTTTACACTGTTGGTGGGAGTGTAAATTGGTTCAACCATTATGGAAGACAGTGTGGCGATTCCTTAAGGACGTAGAAACAGAAATTCCATTTGACCCAGCAATCCTGTTACCCGGTATATATTCAAAAGATTATAAATCATTCTATTATAAGGACACACGTACACGAATGTTCACTGCAGCACTGTTTACAATAGCAAAGACTTGGAACCAGCCAAAATGCCCATTGCCGTTAGACTGGACTAGGAAAATGTGGCACATATACAGCATGGAATGGTATGCAGCCATAAAAAATGAGTTCCTGTCCTTTGTGGGGAAATGGATGAACCTGGAAACCATCATTCTCAACAAACTGACACAAGAACAGAAAATCAAACACTGCATGTTCTTACTCATAGGCGGGTTTGAACAATGAGAACAAATGGACACAGGGAGGGAACATCACACACTGAGGTCTGTGGGGGGTAACTAGGGGAGGGACAGTACACGGTGGGGGGTGGGAGTTGGGGAGGGATAACATGGGGAGAAATGCCAGATATAGATGATGGGAATGGAGGCAGAAAACCACATTGCCATGTATGTACCTATGCAACAAACCTGCCTGTTCTTCACATGTACCCCAAAACCTAAAATGCAATAAAATATAAAAAACAAACAAACAAGAATAAAACTCTTTGTTTAAAACATCTCATATTTTACAGACAGCTGCTTGCATCCATGTTTTAGGTAGTAAAGGGGCGTCTTGAGCAAGTGTAGTTTTTTTAACAAACTTTCATTTCTTCCTGTAGCTTCAGTTCCTTAAAATAAACACTTGCATATATAAGACCTGAAGAGTTATTTTGGAAAGTGGTCACGTGGAAGAACAAGGAATTAAAAAGAGTTACATGGTTAAGAAGAGGCGGCCAATTAAGGGGATGTTAAGTTGATTGTCACAGAGGGCACCTGAGCCTTAATCATACCATATAGAATACATCTCCGAATAGTATCTCAGAAAGAAAAAGCCAGTTTATCCAGTTACTCCTGTGTCCCACCCTGACTGGACAAAGGTAATTAAGTCCCTCTCACTTTGCAATTACCGTACATGCCAGGGGAATTGAGTGAGCTTGGTCAGGCCAGCACCCCACACAGTATAAGCCAAGTAGATCCAGGTGAAAAACTGTTAGTACTTTTCAAACTAGATTTAGTAAGACTCTATTGATCATTTATTAATTTATTTTATTTATTAATGAACATTTCATCAATCTTTCTACACTAAGATGGTATTCTATTTTTCCTTTTATAGCATCTTATATTATCACAAATAATTCATTATTCTGCTTAGTGTTGGTCACCAATGTCTTTTCCCATGTTTTTCAGACACATGATAAAAATTTTCGAATAAATTATTTAATCTTTTTCTTTTTACATAGACTTAAAACTATAAGAAACTGATTTTTGCCTTAAAGCACATTATCACCCTTTACTTACTCAAAAAAATTAATATGTTTTAGCAAATTTGTATTATCTGTCTTTATTTTTATATGGATTTCCATAATTTTCTCCAAATCCTTTGGCTTATGTAATTTTGTTACAGTTCTCCTACTGTTAATTAATGTATTTCTACCATTATATTTTTTAACTTGCTCTTGTCATTATAAGAAAGAAAGCTATTTAAAATCTGTAAACCCGGCTGATTTCCTCAGTTCTATAACTTTCTAGCTCTAATTGGATTTTTCAAGGTGTTCAAGAGAGCAATTATTATTTCTGTTTTTTACTTCCTGCATTTACTAGCTTCAGTGAAAATTTTAAATAATAATGATGAGAGAAGGCATCATTTTCTCATTCTTGACTTTATTGAGAATGACTCTAGCACAAAATATTCTGTATGACATTAATAGATACGTATAAAAAATTCACTGTCTGACTAAGTTGAAGAGAATGAAGGTCAGGAACAATTGAACAGCACCTGGCAACTAATTACTCATGTACAGATGAGATATTATTGTTTTTATTACATCTCTTAGTCTTCACATTTTTTATTTCCTACAGCAAATTCCCAATGAGTTTTTAGGTGTGTTTAATATGTACCTACAGAGGAATTATGGAGTTTTAATTTAATAACTTCTTGCCAATTTTAGATATTTCATGTATTGTCCACTGAAGTATCAATTGTCTTTTGGAAATAATATTCTTAATTGAAGAGAAATCTTTAATTTTAATAGAATCAAATTAATCAAACTTTTTTTCTTTGATGTTTAAAGGAACCCTTATCATCCCTAATTGACTCCCTGTCACAAAGATAATTTTCTATATTGTTACTGTTAATTTTATTGTTTTACAGTTAGGCTTTTATATATCAAGTATTTGAATTATATCATCAATACATGTTGTAT